CATTTCCAGCATAAATCCAAGTTTAACCAGAACGTCGGGGGGGGGGAGGAGGAAAAAACAAGGGGAAATAGGCTACCTTGCATAATGACTTAGCCACTCCCAGTCTCTATTTAAGCCTAAATTAATAGTATCCAATTTGCAAATGAATTCCAATTCAGCAGTTTCTCGCTGGAGTCTGGATTTGAAGTTTTTTTGTTGTAAGACAGCGACCTTCATATCTGTAATTGTGCGACCAGAGAGATTGAAGTGTTCTCCGACTGGTTTATGAATGTTATAATTCTTGACATCTGATTTGTGTCCATTTATTCTTTTACGTAGAGACTGTCCAGTTTGACCAATGTACATGGCAGAGGGGCATTCCTGGCACATGATGGCATATATCACATTGGTAGATATGCAGGTGAACGAGCCTCTGATAGTGTGGCTGATGTTATTAGGCCCTGTGATGGTGTCCCCTGAATAGATATGTGGGCACAGTTGGCAACGGGCTTTGTTGCAAGGATAGGTTCCTGGGTTAGTGGTTCTGTTGTGTGGTATGTGGTTGTTGGTGAGTATTTGCTTCAGGTTGGGGGGCTGTCTGTAGGCAAGGACTGGCCTGTCTCCCAAGATTTGTGAGAGTGTTGGGTCATCCTTCAGGATAGGTTGTAGATCCTTAATAATGCGTTGGAGGGGTTTTAGTTGGGGGCTGGAGTTTTCCGAGGAAAGCAAAGTGCATCCGCTGAGTTTCTGATCCTGCAGCCACTTACTCCCATGAGCAGTCCTTCCTCACTTGAATTCAAGGGTTTACTTGTGGGAGTAAGAGTTTGCAGGATCAGACCCTAGATAATTTACACTCCTCCCTACCATGCACAGAACAGAATACCTAGAGGTATGGGGCCAGATCCTCACTCGTGTAAATCAGTTCTGCTCCAAAGTTGAAGAAGTATGCTCAGTTACACCCACTGAGGTTCTCGCCTATAGTCATTGTCCATTGTCATTTCCTCATGCCTCATTTTATAAGATGATAGCTCATTACCTGTGATCACATACGTTGTGTCATTTGGGCCTGGGACTGTCCTTTACTATATGTTTGTACAGTGCCTGCCTGTGGCCTCCAGGTGCTTTCACTATATAAACGGTAAATCAAACAATAAATAATTTTGTCAATGTTTTGTTTTATGCAATGACACGACACTTTTGTTCCCATTTCTGTACTGAATTTAGTATCTCTTTGTCAACCTGCACATGTACAAACAAGGACAGGTGGATGTAAATGCTTTTTCACTGGAGGTTCATTCCTTTTCCTCTGAAATATCTGATCAGTGGTGGGGTATTGCTTGAAATGCTCCTCTGGTCTGTTCCGGTATGATAAGTCTTATGTGTTTATTTGCAGGTCATTCTGAGCCCACTGTAGTGTGATGGCATTTCTATCACTGCCATAATTCTTAGCAGGAACCCCATTATCCAAGCGGAGTTGGGCCAGTCCATGCCACCGTTCACACAGGTTATATCCCTGTTTATCTGACCACCAGAGTTGAACCTACCTACCATTACTGGTGGCATAGATCAGAAGTTCATTGTTCTTCTCCCACAAGCCACACTTGGGGTGAGAAAATTCTCTACAGATTCTTCTATCTGGGATATTCTTCATATGTTCCCACGCTTCACGGACACTTCAGCTAATTTAAAATCTCACCCAAAGATGTACCTTTTCTCTCTCCTGTATGACGATTAATTTCCCTTACCCATTGTTATGGCCTTCTAACTAGAATGCTTTATTTGTTCACCATGCATTCTGGCTTTCCAGCACTGCTTTGTTCAATAACTTATGCCGTGCACTATCCAGTGTCTTTGTTTGATTCCATACAGCATTTTTAGATGTGCTTTGTGTGGAAGATACCGCACCAAGCTAGGGTGTGTTGCATTCCACTGTCAGACTGGTTGACTGACTACACTGCTAAACCCAGGGTTGTCAGTTCAATCCTTGAGGGGGCCATTTAGGGATCTGGGGAAAAATTTGGGGACTGGTCCTACTTTGAGCAGGGGGTTGGACGAGATGACCTCCTGAGGTCCCTTCCAACCCTGATATTCTATGATTCTATGACAGCAGTGAGAGTCTGATTTATTTTACACTGGTTTTACAGCAGTGTAACTCCATGGACGTCAATAAAGTTACCCCTTATCTGAGCTAACTGCCCCTCTGATCCCTTGCTGGATTGTACCCCTCTTGGGCCTGAAGCCATCACCTTTGTTAGGGTGGAATCACATGGTGCGCTCACTCTCAGACTGGGCCTTGTGCTGCAGTCCCCAGATGTCAGTCATGATATTCTTGGCAGATCTGAATTAGGTTCAGTACCTGCAGTTCTGTTACCTCTGGGAGCAGCAGTAGCCAGGCAGTCTCCTGAAAGCACATGATTATTTATTCAGAACAAAAGCATTTAATAGAAAACAGGTCTTAAACCTGTGTAGTTTGAAAGCTGGTACCTTCCACCAATAGAAATTAGTCCCATAAAAGATATCTTGTCTCTCTCACATCCTGGGACCAACACAGCTACAACACTTACACCAATGGACAGCCTATGTGCGTGCCTGTCTTTCCCTAAGGTTTACCATTCCCTGGAAGCCACAGAAGCCTCAGTTGCTTTTAGACACCCTTGCTGGACCTGTCTCTCTCTTTCATCTCAGTCTGTTCTCACCAGGTACAGCATCCTCAAGTCCCTGCCCTTCTCTCGCTAGTGTCCTTTTGAGCATTTGGTGTTCTGATGATCTCTACCTCCCAGCAGTGGCAACACCAGGCTTGTACCTTCGTTGAAGACAGGTTATAGGATCCACAAAACAAACAGCTTTCCCCATTGTCTTTCAAGTGTGTGCTTGTTTGGCCAACAGCCCCCTATTAAGTTAGATCAATACATTCATATAGGAAAGCCTAATAATCCAGTGCAACTGTACAGTATCTTTGCCTCACTGACCAGATCACCTATAGAATTCATCAATTACTATAGTATTCTTAGATTAGTACATAGCAGCTCCACATCTGCTATACCCCGATTTGCAAGGATTAGGTGAGAGGAGAATCAGGCTCAAAGTGTGTAGGCATGATCCTTGATTGTAGTTCCACTGAAATCAGTTGAACTATGCCAGTTTACTTCGGCTGATGCATTGGCTTGGCAATTTTTGCATCAGCATTTAGAGGCTGGGATAAAGTAGGTCTGATTATCAACTCAAATTGGTGTAAATCAGGAATAATCCATGGCAGCCAGGGCCTGATTCTCCACTGCCTCACAACTTATGTCTCCATTTACACCTATGCAGAGTGGGTCTTCATTTAATGCTGCCAAATTGGCATGGGAAAATTTTACTCCTGCTTTGCAGAGGTGTAAATGACAACACAAGGTGCAAGGCAGTTTTGAATCAAGCTCCCATTGTAGTTGCTGTACTTTGGTGTAAAGCCAGAATAAGTCAAAGACGAAGCAGGAAGCAGGCAGAGCATTCCTGGAATCTGCTCATTCTCATGCTGGTTTCCAGCAAGGCTCACTAGTTTTGCTAGGAACCTATTACAATTACCCCAGTATTTTTAATACAGCACTGAGAACTTGCTCCTGTTTTTCATCTTTACAACAGTGAGCAGTGTGTCACTTTCCAGCAGATGATTTAGATTTTTCACTGCTGATTAATACTTTTGGACTGTGGCCTTTCACTGTGTTTCCTGCTGCAATTTATTTAGAATTTCTTACAAAAATGTGTAGCAAATGGCTGCACTAATCAAGTTAAATCAAGCCATGCTTACCTTGGGTTAGCATTAACATGGACCAAGTTCTAGGGAGGGATTAACTCAGAATTTGACCTGGATGGATGAACTATGCAGCCATGCAGAGTGACTTTTGGGAGGCGGGGAAGGGAAGGGTGCTGTCAGAAAATAATTCCACATGCAAGGAGCGAGGAAGGGTGCTTCCTTAAATCCACAGCTGGACAGGCTCCAGGGTGCTTCAGAGCATGACATGTGGCTGATCTGGTCAACCATTGCTCTAATCTGCCACTGCCAAATTCTAAAAGACATCTCTCATTCTGAGCAGGGTTCAGTCATTTTCTGTACTGTCAGGAGCGGCTGAACATGGAGTGCATTTCCAAGGGGGAGATTGTGATCTGGCCCCTGGGAGAAAACACATTGGTGTGAGAATGGGCAAGATTTCCCTCACTTGCCTTGTATGCCCTGAGCAGGGGCAAGACGCCATTCCATTCTCCTGAGAACCCTGAGCACCAGGTGAGGTGACAGTCTACCCAAAAGGACAGGGAAGGAACAGGGCTACCCTCAGGAGCAGGTAGAGGCTGCACTTCCCAAGAGCTGCCGTTGGCTTATTGTGGTGAACTACAATTGCCTTCAGAGCTGACCCTGGGGTGATGCAAATCCACACACTACTTCGTACATAAAAGGCATGTCAGGCGAAATGATAGTCTCTTTTTCTCTGCTGCTCTTTGCACAGCAAGGTTGGGCTGACATTCCTTTAACACCAAAAGGGCTGGAAGTATCAGATGGTTCTGCTGCAGTTGGGCATAAATGAGGAGGCACCTGGGAACGGCCACTTGAAGTGATGGGAGCGGCAGCTGGAAATGACAGTTTAAGATTCAAACTGGGAACTGTACCATATGGATTTGGCTGGGGACCCCGCATGCCTCGGGCTGCAGTACCTGCCCCAGCACTGGAGGCCGTGAATGCATCGGGCTGCACTGTGTCCTCCCGCAGGAGCCTGATGCGAGCACCGGGCTTGCACGCCCCGGGCGGCGGCTCCGCACTAACTTGGAGCCATGCACGCCCCGGGCTGCAGGACCTGCCCCGGGGACCGCGCGTGCACCGTGGGCACGCTCCGCGCGAGCCTCGCACTGCGCCTGCGCCGGGCAGGCGGCCCCCTCCTCCGCCCGCCCGGCCGCGGCCGCGGTGCATTGTGGGACACAAACAAAGTGCCCGGCCCGGCTGGAGCGCGGAGCTCGAGCGCCCGGGCCCCGCGTGCCCCCCGCCCCCCCCGCCCGGAGAGCCCGCGCGAGCCGCCCCCCCGCCCGGCGCCGCCCCCAGCAGGGAGGAGGCAGCGGCGGCCCCCGCCCGCCCGCGCGCCCGCCCGCCGCCGCCATGGCCCAGCGGGGGCCCCGGCGCGGCCCCAGCTAGCGGCTCGGTCTGCCGCGCGGCCCGGGGCGCCGGGCCCAGCCACCGCAGGTAACGGAACGGGGCCGGGCCGGGGGGAGACCGCGAGAGCCGGGCCCGGGGGCTGCCTCGTCCCCGGGCAGCCACAGGGCCTCCCCCACTCCGGGGCCCCCGTCCTCAGAGACCCGCTTCCCCGGGCCCTAACCCCCCCCCCGAGAGCCCCCCATCCTCCTCCTCCTCCCGGGCCCTAACCCCCCCCCCGAGAGCCCCCCATCCTCCCGCTTCCCCGGGCCCTAAACCCCCCCCCGAGAGCCCCCCATCCTCCACCTCCCCCCGGGCCCTAACCCCCCCCGAGAGCCCCCCATCCTCCTCCTCCCGCCCCCCGGGCCCTAACCCCCCCCCGAGAGCCCCCCATCCTCCTCCTCCTCCCGGGCCCTAAACCCCCCCCCGAGAGCCCCCCATCCTCCTCCTCCTCCCGGGCCCTAAACCCCCCCCGAGAGCCCCCCATCCTCCTCCTCCTCCCGCCCCCCGCGCCCTAACCCCCCCCCCGAGAGCCCCCCCATCCTCCTCCTCCCGCCCCCCGGGCCCTAACCCCCCCCCCCGAGAGCCCCCCATCCTCCACCTCCCGCCCCCGGGCCCTAATCCCCCCCCGAGAGCCCCCCCATCCTCCTCCTCCTCCCGGGCCCTAATCCCCCCCCCCCGAGAGCCCCCCCATCCTCCTCCTCCTCCCGGGCCCTAAACCCCCCCCGAGAGCCCCCCATCCTCCACCTCCTCCCGGGCCCTAAACCCCCCCCCCCCCCGAGAGCCCCCCATCCTCCACCTCCCGCTTCCCCGGGCCCTACCCCCCCCCCGAGAGCCCCCCATCCTCCCGCTTCCCCGGGCCCAAACCCCCCCCCGACAGCCCCCCATCCTCCTCCTCCCGGGCCCTAAACCCCCCCCCCGAGAGCCCCCCATCCTCCCGCTTCCCCGGCCCAACCCCCCCCCCCGAGAGCCCCCCATCCTCCCTCCTCCTCCCGGGCCCAAACCCCCCCCGAGAGCCCCCCATCATCCTCCTCCTCCCGGGCCCTAACCCCCCCCCGAGAGCCCCCCATCCTCCCGCTTCCCCGGGCCCTAACCCCCCCCCGAGAGCCCCCCCATCCTCCCGCTTCCCCGGTCTCTAACCCCCTCCCTGGACCCCCTGAGAGCCCCCCCCTTTTCCTCCTCCTTCTCCCGCTCCCCCGGGCACTAACCCCCCGAGAGCCCCCCCTTCTTTCCTGCTCCCCGGGCACTAATCCCCCCTGAGAGCCCCCCCTTCTCCTCGTCCTCCCGCTCCCCTGGACCCCCCAAGAGCCCCTCCTTCTCCTGCTTCCCTGGGCCCTGACCCCCCAAGAGTCCCCCATCCTCCTGCTTCCCCAGGTCCTAACCCCCCCCGAGAGCCCCCCTTCTCCTCCTCCCGCCCCCTGGACCTCCCCATAGAGCCCCCCCATCCTCCCGCTTCCCCGGTCCCTAACCCCCTCCCCCGGACCCCCGAGAGCCCCCCCTTCTCCTCCTCCTTCTCCCGCTCCCCTGGGCACTAACCCCCTGAGAGCCCCCCCTTCTTTTCTGCTCCCCGGGCACTAACCCCCTGAGAACACCTTCCTCTTCCTCCTCCTCCCGCTCCCCTGGGCACTAACCCCCCCCCGAGAACCCCCTGCTCCTCCCGCTCCCCTGGGCACTAACCCCCCCCGAGAACCCCCTGCTCCTCCCGCTCCCCTGGGCACTAACCCCCCCCCCCCGAGAATCCCCTCCTGCTCCCCTGGGCACTAATTCCCTGAAAGCAACCCCGGGCTCTTACCTGAGCCCCCGCCCAGTACTCCCCAAGAGCTCCCCCTCCACTGGGCACTAACTCCCCAAAAGGCCCCCTACATGCACCCTGAGAGGCCCCTCCGCCCGCTCCTTGGGGCACTAACCTCCCGAGAGGCCCCCCCAAGAGCCCTCCCTGGGCACTAACTCCTCAAGAGGGCTCTCCTTGCTCCCCTGGACACTAACCACCTGAGAACCTCACCAGGTTCTTACCCCCCATTCATCCCCTGCTCCCATGAACACTAACCCCCTGAGAGCCCCTCCAAACTCTTGCCCCCCCTCCTTTGGGCACTAAGCCCCTGAAAGCCCCCTACCCCAGACACTGCACTCTGGAGAGCTCCCCCCAGGCTCTTAATCTCCCATGCACCCCTGTGAGCACCCCCAGCTGCACAAGGCAGTAACCCCCTGAGGGGTCCTCCAACTCTTACCCCCTGTGCTCCCCCAAGAGCCCTCCCTGGGCACTAACCCCTCCAGAGGGCCTTCCCGCCCCCCCCCCCCTTCCCAAGAACCACCACCCCTGCTCCCCTGGGGTTGGCCTAGAGGCCACTAGATGCCTCCTGTCTCTACCCTAGAGGCCGTCCTATTTTCCCTGTCCCAAAACCTTGCCGCCTCCTCATCCTTCCTGGCATTTATTACCCCAACACAAACTCTCTGGAGGTGTGCCCCCCCCCTTCCAGGACACACACCCTAGAAGTACCCCTTACTCCCCTCTCCCAAAGCTTAGCAGCTCCTCCTCCTCCTCCCCATTCCCCCCACTCCCTCCTGACATCTACCCCTTCCCATAGCCCTTGAGGCCTCTCCATTTTCTCTCTTCCAAAGCCTGGTCTGGTCTCTGTGTCCATTTCTTCCCCCCATGCTGCCTTCCTGTTTTCATTAGCCCTCCCCCTGGCATCTATCTGCCCCACTCACCTTCCCCCTCCAAAGGTGTTTGGTTGGTGGTGATCTCTCTCCATCCTTTCCCAAGGGTGACTGCTACCCCCCATCCCAGGGGGTTGCTCTCCACAGCCATAGGGGCTAGCAACTGTTCGGGGCAGCAGCTTGGCATTAGTTGTCTTTTATGTGCCATGCATGCTTGTAGGGCCTCCTGGGGAGCCCTGCAAAGTGATGCACTGAGCACAAGTGCTCCTGGCCTAGCAGGGTTTGCACATTCACAGGATAATCTGTCTGTCGGAGGGGGGCGGTGGGTGATGACACACTTCCTCTTTGCATAGGGGTGTGAGTCCCACCCACACCACAGAACCAGGCACACAGAGATGATCTCTTAGAGTGGGCCTACCCACAGGTTTTGCACCAATTTAGCTATATCTGCTTAGAAAGCAGCATAGTTAAGTGAGTGATCCAATTATATCAGTGCAGGTGTTCGTATTGGTATAACTTGTTTTTATATAAACACTTCTGTAGTGATATAACTGTCCATAGTAGGGGGTTACAGTGATTTAGCTATCTTTGTTTCTATTCCAGTATTTAAATTGGTGGAAAAAGTGTATGTAGGTAATCCCTTACTAGAGGGAATTCCACTCCCGTGCTGTTCTCCCCAAGTGGGAAATGCACAGAGGATCCCCTTTACGCTAGAGAGAATTGTTGTTTCTTTTGCATGTCGGTGATTTCCCTAATTTGCTTCCTGAACCTGACACGCACAGAGATTCAGTTTACAGGGGGAGGGAAATGTCCCCTGTCTGAGATTTACAGATGCACTGGGGGAACAACTGATTCATACTTCTCTTTAGTGTTGTCACATAAGATGTAAATGAAAGAATTAGTGAAACGAACTCCATGCATCATTTGTTGCTGCAGGAGGTTGAATCACATGCTCTGGCTGGTTTTAAGGAGGGCAATTTTGTGGTATTGATAGTAAAATGTGTGCTAAAATGAGGATCCAGTCAGATGTTGGATATTTGCTAGATGGGTCAGAAAGAAATTTGACTCCCTTTCTACCTTGTATAACATTGCACAAGTAGCCAAATCCATTGTTAGAATGTTTGCCGTTTTCTGCAGCTTCAGGTATTGCCAGGGATAGAGTATCTGATCCAGTATGATAAATCTGGTGACTATTTTAGTTAAGGAGGTTTTTCTCTTTGGTATCTTTCTACTCATGAGGAGTCTTTGCTGTATGATGTCTGTATTACAGGAGTAATAATAGACATTACAGCCATGTCTGTTCTTTTAATAAACTGTGTAGTTGATGAAAAGGAGGGCTTTGGGACCGTGCCACCCTCCCCCCGGATATTTTTGACATTGTGCAGTCCAGTAGCACCTTCTTTGCTGTATGTTCCTGGTAAATCACATCAGTTCTGTACCAATCCACTTGAGCGTTTCAGTATATGTTCATTCAGTACTATACAACCTAGGTGTTGAGAAGTCTGCTAGGAAATAAAAAATCAAACCTCTTAACTCTATAAAATGAAAAAACAGAAAACAGTAGAAATTATAGGAAAATAGTAGTGTAAAGGTATTCTGTGTAAACCAAAGAATTTCGTTTTGGGGTGCAAAAAAGGAAGCTGAGAGAATTAGAGTTCTAGGCCATAAAGTGAAATGGTGTGTTTTTAAGAATGGATTCGATGAGAGAACTACTGAAATCTAAGGGATGCTTGCAAGTCTCTGATGATGAGGAATCAGCTTTTTAAGTAATGGTGATGGATTCCATTTGTGAGCCTTAATTATAATCCATGAACTTGAATGACCTAAAATAAGCATCATTTTGTGAATGTCTGTCTGTGCCAGATCTTCTCTTTTTAGCCTGTCTATATAGCTCTTTCCTTCGTTTCTTTTAAAAGCATTGTGGTTTGTAGGCTGTCTTTGAAACCTATCAGGTGTGTAGCAAACCTTTTTCTGAAAAATGGTTTCTAGTATTCATTAGTGGCAGTACATTCAGATTATTTTTCTTCACTTTCCTGTTATACTAAAGAGTGCATAATGTATTTGTTCTAAATACTTACGTGGCACCCCTCATCCAAGTATCTGGACTTGTAGTAAAGCAAAAACATTTCCCTTGCACAAGTAGCTGATTGCTTTACAACACCCGCACATGTCACAACTTTAAAAGGTCAGGTGTGGAAGAAATTGCCAGTAAACTGATGGGAATCCAAGCTAGTAGTTATCAAAAAGCTGCTTAATACTTTCTGAACATGGCCATGAAGTGAATTTCTGTTGACATACTTCTGTCTTATCCATTGCAAGAAAGTTATCCCAAATTATTCAGCCTGTGCAGAGAGCCAGACTTTAGAAACTCTGAATACTTTCATGCTTAGAGC